TAGAGCGAGCTCACCGTCTCGGCCATCACACAAACGGACGCTGTCGCCCATTAATCGTGAAACTAACTTTTTTTAAAACCAAGGAGGTCATTCTTTCGAACGGCCGTAAGTTAAAGGGCACCGTCCTTAGCATTGGCGAAGATTTCTCGCGCCCCGTCCAAAACGCCCGGAAGCAGTTAGTTACATTTGCTAAAAACAAGGCAGTCCCATTCTCGCTACGCTACAAAACATTATTCATTGGCAAACAACGTTATATGTTTGACGAGTTGTCACAAACTGTCAAAGAAATTGCATAACAATCACCAATCTATCAACGACCAATAAACCGCCCTCAATCTACCCCTCGTGTAAATACTTCCTTATCTGTTATCTTTACCAACATACGGAGCTTCCTTTCAAAGCGGGATCTTGTATCTAATCTCGTGTCGTCATCCAGCAGCAATATATTACTACTAACTGAAACATGGTTAACTGCCAACGTCACTGACGAAGAAGTCCTTGCTGACTTGCCAAATTTTCAAATCTTTCGAAATGATCGGAAAGGCGCACGAGGTGGAGGTGTACTCATCGCCGTTAGCCAGCAGTTGTCCTGTTCTCTCATTACCATTCCCTCTGATATTGAAGCATTGTGGCTCATATGTCGGGCTTCTCCGCAAACAGTTGTACTGGGCATCTGCTACAGATCACCAAATTATAGTACCGAATTTTCCCGTAAACTAAGCGACCTACTGTGTCAACTTTCTGCAGAGTACCCAAATGCACGAATTCTTCTTTTTGGTGACTTTAATTTCCCAAATATTAATTGGATTGACCCATCACCCTTAACTGTAAGCAACTCAGAAGAAAAAGAATTCATTGAGGTTTGTCTCAATTTTAATCTCACCCAGCTGGTAACAGAACCAACGCGCGTCACTCGCGAATCTGCAAATATTTTAGATCTCGTATTAACCAATCAACCTGACTGTCTATCATCCATAAACTACCTTCGAGAGATTAGTGACCACAAAGTTATTCATGCTGTCTTTGAGCTTACTCCTGCAAAACGTCATATCGAAAAGAAAACAATTCGCCTGTACGATAAAGGAAATTATGAAACTATAAATAACGAGCTGAACACCTTTTTTCCAGTTTTTGAAGGAACATTTCACAACCAGTCAATTCATGAAAATTGGTTGATTTTTAAAAATAAGTTAAACGAGCTAGCAAATAATTTCATCCCCTTGTTCAGTTTCCACGCAGATCAACATAAACCGTGGTTCACTAAAAGCCTCAAAAGATTAAAAAACAGAAAAAAACGTCTTTTCCGCTCAGCCAAGGTGTCGGCTGGCCCTGGTGCATGGGAAAAATACTACGCGGCTGAGGATGCATATTTAACCGCAATCCGAAACGCCAAGTACTCTTTTTTCCACGTGGACCTACCAAATATGTTGATTAAAAACGCCCGAAAATTCTGGCAAGTGATAAACCCTCAGCAAAAGCGTACTGTTGCCATTATCAATAAACTGGGCGAACCTGTGAATGATGCTGAATGTGCGAACGTTTTCAACACCGCGTTTTCATCGGTTTTCACTGCAGAATCTGATGTGTCATTTACAATGCTCCCTGCAAACACCGAGTATCCAATGTCTCCCGTCACTTTTTTTGCTGATGGTATTGCGTCAGTAATTGATAACATTAAACTGTCATCATCAGCCGGCGTAGACGAAATTAATTCCAAACTTCTGAAAAATACTAAACACATCTCTGCAGCATATTTGTCCTTGTTATTCTCTCAGTCACTTTCTACAGGTAACATTCCGGAAGACTGGAAGGTGGGAAAGGTCGTTCCCGTCTACAAATCAGGTAATAAAGAATCCCCATTAAACTACCGCCCTATCTCTCTAACGAGCGTGCCTTGTAAAATCATGGAACACGTCATTTTTTCTCAAGTCATGCATTTTCTGGACTCGATCGACTTCTTCCATCCTTTGCAGCACGGCTTTCGTAAAGGATTCTCCTGCGAAACTCAGTTAGCCCTCTTTCTTCATGATCTGCACATTAACCTCGACTCTAACATACAAACTGACGCCATATTTTTAGATTTTTCAAAAGCATTTGACAAAGTATCTCATCAGCGCTTGCTACTAAAACTTGCTCAGTTGAACTTGGACCATAATATCTTACGATGGATCAAAGAATTTCTTAACAACCGCTCCCAATCTGTCCTAGTTAACAACCAGTCTTCTAATCTCATCCCAGTCACATCGGGCGTCCCCCAAGGGTCTGTTCTTGGTCCGCTTTTATTTTTAATATATATTAATGATTTACCGCAACATTTATCCTGTAATATTCGCATGTTTGCAGATGACTGCGTCATCTACCATTCCATCACTAACGTATCGGACCAATCTGCTCTCCAAAACGACCTTAACCGCGTGCTGCAATGGTGCGACCGTTGGTTAATGCCACTTAACTCTACTAAATGTAAAGTTATGTCCTTTCACCGCCGCCGCAATCCCCTTTTCTTTCCCTATACCATCACTACCACCCCCGTAGAATTAACCGAATCATATAAATACCTTGGTGTCACCCTTTGCAGCGATTTATCTTGGCGTACGCATATTACTAACATTACCTCATCTGCTAACAAAACCCTGGGATTCCTTAAACGTCAACTACGCCACGCCCCTCAGGAAGTAAGACTACTCGCCTACAAATCACTAATAAGATCAAAACTTGAATATGCATCTGCCGTCTGGGACCCTCACCAAGTATACCTCATCAACGCAATCGAAGCAGTCCAAAATCGCGCAACTAGATTCATTCATTCTTCATACTCGTACCATACCAGCGTATCACCCCTGAAAGCTGAATCAGGTTTACTTAGTCTCGCTTGTCGTCGCCGCATCGCTACCCTCTGTTTGTTTCACAAGTTATTCAATTCCCCCCTCTGTATCTCACCTTACATCGTACCTCCCACACGCATATCTCACCGCACCAGTCATCCTCTCCAGGTTGCTCGCCCACGCGCTCGCACTGTCACTTTTTCTGCGTCATTCTTCCCCCGAGCAGCTCCAGACTGGAACGGCCTTCCCCACCACATTGCTGCCATCACCTGCCCATCAATCTTCTTCGAAAATGTTACCAATCATCTCTCATCCTGAAGACCAGCACCTATGTTTGATTATTTTTGTAACCCCACCCCTTATGTAATACCCCCTAAAAAAGGGGGTCTTTAAGGTAATAAAATGAAAAAAATGAAAAAAATTCAATGTGAACATATTGAGACTCAAGTTGATCAAGTGTGCATACGTCCCACATTCAAATGCCTTATTCTCGGGATTTAATTCAGAACGGGTGTATTGAAACCCAATCAAAGACACAAAATAGCATGGACCAAAATATTGACTGAATGCACTAGGAATTCCAGCAGACGCCCGACTTTTGGAACAAGCATCGAACTTCCGGTGGCTTCACTTGCGCCAGGCTCGGAGAGCAGCTATGCGCCATCCAGCACCCCTATAGTGGAGATCAGTGGGCTGAGCACAAGCTATTGTGAGCAAATCAGTGTTGAGCACTTTTCACTTCATGTTTCAACTACCTAATGTCCCTTTGTGAGCAAATCAAAATGTGAAAAAAAAAGTCTTATTGCAAGCAAATTAAAATATAAAAAAAGCAAACAGTAGCTATTTTTCTAGTATCGCGGAATTCACATCAACAAAAATTTATTAATGAAGCTACATTTTAAAAGCTTAAATATACAGTAATTCTCTTTTCCACATTGTTTTTAATGACCAGACAAATTGATAATTTAATCTGTTATTTATGCTTAAAAATACATCTAATGATAAGGAAACAGTCTGATTCTGATTTCTTTGACTTCTTTTAATTGTGCTTTTTTTTTTATAATGCACATTTAAGAATCAACTTTACTTTTGCTGAGATGCCAAAGGATGAATGGCCACCAATGGAACGCCCCTTTGCCAATCAAATTTAAAACAGGACAACAGCCATAACAAGGAAACAAATCGAGCGTCCTGATTACACACATCTGTTGGCTTTTCATTTACAAGCATATCTGCATGTGCTTTATGGTCACCACTCTACCGAGATTGTCCGCACGGAACGTGGGACGCGTTTACTGTTGTGCAGGTAAAGCATTTGCAGTTCGATATGAGACGCGTTAGGTGTAAAAGCATTACTGCTACAAAGACCATTAGTGTCGCCATTTTATTTAGTGTTTTTTTAATTGTCATTCATACTTTCAGTTACAGCAAACTGCACGGGATATACATGGTCAAAATAAGCGAGGCACATGAGAAAACTGTAGAAGAATATAGGAGACAGGAAAGACGCTGACTGTAACCTCTGTATTCTTCTGGTTTCTACAGTCTCCTGTATCCTTCTAGTTTCCTCACATTGCTCGCTGACTTTAACCATGTATAACGCTTACCAACAAGCCCAGATCACCACCCTTCTACAGCATGAGATATACATCGCCGCCATTTCTCACGCGCGGATCGACCGCCATGTTTGTTTTTTCGAGATGAAACGGAGGCGTGAAATCTGCCCAAGTAATTTGGCTATTCACATCCCCAGGAAGCGGCAATACAAGTTCTGAACACTGTTTGAACGTGTGAAATATGATAGAAACACTTCAACAGAAACCTAGCCAGCTCGCTGTTATGCAAAAAGTTTTCCCGGCCCGGCCCGACCCGACCCGACCCGACCCGACCCGGCCCGGCCCGGCCTGCGGGGATGGGCCAGGTCGGAGCAGCCGGCCGGGCCGTGCCGAATCTAAACCTCAGGTTACAAAAATGGAATTGTTACATGAAAGCTAATGTATACGACTGGAACAAAATCGTGAACGCATGCATCACGCTAAGCCTAGCTCCGCAAACGCCGCGGTTTGCTTTCTTGGGAGAACCCCAGCAGCACGACGATTTGGCCGTCGTAAACAGAACCAGCGCAAATGTGCGAACTAGCCTTAACAAAGTGCAAGTAGTGCAGAAGTCACTCACCGCGTTTTCGGGAAGGTCTGGAGGACTCCATATTTAAGGAATATCAGCAGTCAAAATTCCAACTGCAAAAATATTTATTCTGCTTTCCAAAGCCGCTCAAGCATCTCTGCCATAGAGCCCATCGCCTGTCACGTGACAATAAAAGAACAAATATTCCAATTTAGGTACGTTTAAGCAGTTCAAGTTGCTAATGAACAAGTGTTACGTGTATTGATTGCCATAGTTGATTGATTGCCAAAGCCATCTTAACCTTTTGTTATAATACAATTATAAAAGATGCGGATCTGCAGTCATCATCATCATCGTATAGACTTCATGCTTCACCTGCTTGTGCTGCTTGTGTAGTACACCGTGTTGTGCAGCTATGTTCATTTAGAAGATTTAGAAGCAGCTGCAGGCCACTGAAGGCTCTCAGCATAGTTATTATTATCATTATAACTCTATGGCTTTCTAGAGACTTCCCAACACTGGTTCTTATCGGAAAGAAAAAAACAAATATATCGTCTAAGTTTCGGCCGGCTTCGGCTTCGTAATCGTATCCAATCCTGTCGACCGGCGGACAAACCGGACAAACTAGCGAAGCGAGCCAGGCAAACGTTTGAGCTGGGTTTATCAATGAACAACGCCGGTTTTTGACAAAACCGAACGAAGCCTCTGGAATCAGAGAACCCCCTTCGCAACCTGCGATTTCAAACCTTTCCGAGTTGAACCAGTGTTAGAAACTCCGCGGTCGAGTCATCTTAGCAGTCCGTGTAGCATCGACCTCGCCGCCTCGCCAGCGCATCTGAATCACGATCCGAAGATGTACCGTCGCCAGCCGACCCGCATAGAAGTCAAGATGGACGACCTGCAGGAGTACGAAGCCCTTAAGAAGGAGTGGGACGACAAGAAAACTCCGCATGACAAGACCCCCGACACCGCAAGCAACACGGCCGCGTCCAAGCCCACCGTCCACGAACGCATCGGCTACAAGCCCGAGCCGAGAATTGCGAGCTGAGTACCGGCCCCCCGACGAACATAGCTTTGGGCAACTCGTTCGCCTCCGAATACATGTCTCACTGCAGAACTAACGGCGTGCGTTGGATCCCCTTTCCTGTTTTACGTTTTGACCGCCAGGCTACGCCTGTTATCGCTGCACACTTGGATAGGCGGCGTCTCCGGTTCTCTCCCTCACGATCTTTCCGCTGGGTGGCTTCGCGTCCTCCTCCGATTCGAGTGTTCGAGCGTGTGGTTAAACCATGGAGGTAGGAATAAGAGTAGGCGACATACCGGCCCAAACCAGCCAGACGGAAAAATCCCAAGTGAAGCCGGAAGTAGATGTGCAAACGCCCCGAGGGTGACCAAAAAAGCTGTGCGCCAGATGAGCTGTCCTTTCCGTCCAATAGCGTCTTTTGGTTCTGTCCCTCCAAACCGGAAGTCTCCCCCGGCTCCACTTTTGGTGGTGTCATGTCACCTCTAGAAGCTTCCTACTGCCATGGGTTGAACGAAGGAACACAGTACCTTTAGGCGCACAAAAAAACTATTTAACTAAAGGCAACAGGAATCCATCAGTAATGAGGAAACGAGCGTTATGAAATTTGAACAGATACGAGATAGTGCGAGGTATCTGGAGGCGGGTTATAGTGCCTGGTTTGACATTCGGAAATGCTGTTTTGTGCATAATGCCGGAAGTGCAGTCAAGACTGAAGGTCAAACAGCATGGCATAGGCAGGTTGGCACTGGGAGCCCAGAGGAAAATCCCTCATGAAGGTGCAAAGAGAGATGGGGGTCGGTTGTTGTTCGAGGCGAGGGAGGCAAATAGCAAGCTGGAATTGGAGGAGCGGCTGCGGGAAACGAATGAAGAGAGATGGGCAGGCAGAATATTTAGGTACCTATATACGAGCAGCGTAGACACAAGATGAAGAAAACGAACTTGACAGCTTGCGTCGAAGTACTGGAGTAACAGTGAAGATTATTGTAAGGGAAAGGGAGACAGAAATCGGGGAGACGATGCAGAAAAAGCCAGCTCTGTAAGTGTACAAAGCAAGAAAAACTAATATTAGAAATGTGCATTATTGTTTGAGGCTTAGGACAGGGGTTTTAAGAACCAGAATGTACAGGGTCAAATTTCAACAGGTGGATGCTACATGCATGGTATGTTGCGGGGGAATCGAAATGCCCGATCATGTCATTACGGATTGTGGGGGGCTCGGCCACCCAAGGAAATCATGCGAACATGCCGACTTCCTCAGGGCTTTGGGATTCAATGAGAACAGCGCAGCAAACCATTTTCAAGTAGAAAGGGGTAAGAAAAGAACGGGAGGAGTGGCAGCAAAAATCGAGACAGATAGATTAATCGGATTAAATCGACTTAGTCAAAATTCGGTGTAGAATCAAAAACACTACTTGGCTAGGTAGTGCAAGTCACTGCCCGATACAAAGGGAATGGCCATGATCCATCCACTGTGTAGTGTGCCTAGAGTTTGGAGTGTTGCCAATTGCTGGATCGGGGTCACATGGTTTAGGGGCAGGATATGCAATCCATGCCACGCAATGACACATGCACTTGCAACCAATCTGTATGGCGGGCATTTGCCATTAAATTGCTCTCCATAGTTTAAGTTCGTCCCCTTCCTAGATCTCATGAATTGCATGGGCCCACTGTAGTGACGGACTGAGTGAGTACAGCAGGGAGCATCATCTGCACGCTTGGCCCCCAGCGTGTTCCCCATGCCTTCCACCACACTTTGTCAAAGGTAAATACCCTAGTTACACGGGCACTCTTAACTGTAGTTATTGACGTCAAGCTAGTTATTTGCAGCTACACGGCAGACCAAAATGCAGTTAGACTGCTAAGCATAGGGCCTCGGTTTGGGCTCCCTGACCAACGAGATGGGGGCGCTAGAGTCGGCAGCGTGGAACCATCCCGAGTGTCCTCCCCAAAGTGTGCCAACTGGCCTGTTGCAACCAAAGGCCTCTATTCGTGATTGTAAGACCATCTACCTGCACTTTGCTCCCACACGAGGAATGCTGCAACGGCAACTGCTCTCCGGCAAAAAGTGACGTTCGCCAAAACAGTTCCGGCAAAAGCTGGAAAATGTCTGCAAGTATGAAGGCCGATTGATTGATGCAATGATGCACTTTAGATGCTGCGACTTGTATCAAGATATATTTTTGAGTCACATTCGCATGTGCGTACAGATATTCTCGTCTCTAGCCTGCTCTTATCCAAGAAATTGAACTGAAGAGCGTTTGACTTGCACCGATAGCAGCAGTATCAAACACATCACCATTTCTGTTACGTCTTGCCTCAGCAATTCATTATTTCCAGTTTTTTTTCTCTTCACTAGCTAGCGATACACAACAGGTACCAACCGAAAAAAGCCATTTGTAAATTTATTAATATCTAATAAAATGGTGTTCTCATTTTTTTCTGGACAATTATTGAAAATTAAACTCTGTCCGGGTGACAACCACGCAATTTCCTTTAATATAGTTACCGAGGAAAATCAATTTGAGTGTAACATTGGCAGACTGTTGTTGATGGCAACTTCAGTTAAATGCGACGATGGCAGTTAAGTATAAGTGCAGCTAGGAATGTCCGAGTAACCATTAACAAGGGCGGAAGTATTGCCAAAACTAGACTGATCTCCCCTGAGCGTTTGGTACATGCGTGAGGCCGCCATTACTTGAGTTGATGGGAAGCAGGCGGCAGTGTGCGAGACGTCGTCCTGCACCTGCAGGGCTCCAGCGAGGCTGCTGCACAGGCAAAAATACGAGTTCCCCACACAATGCGGCTGCGGTGGCGCAGCCAGCTGGCGAGATGGGTCCATTGCACCCGCTCTTCACCAAGCAGCAAGATGGCAGTGCCCCCCCCCCCCAAGAAAACCGGGGAATGGAGTGCCTCCAAGCGTAGTTTATTTAGATGTCCAGGATAGGAAGCTTGTGCTGGGGACTAGTGAAGTTCTTCCCTGCTCTGCTCACCAGACTAGTGCTGCTCGTTTCTTTCACACATTGGCGAGAGCGAGCCAACAATGGCTCGCACGACTGCAGCAGTGGTGCAACTGCTGCACCAAACTCTGCCAGAACCTGGTACATGCTGCAAAGGCTGCGTTTGCACACCATTTGTGCCACGTCTGCACCAAAAGGGAGCTGTCCTCAAAAAAGAAACAAAATGTCTAGCACATGGCATTGTTAGCGATGCCACTGAAAATTAAGTACAGCTGTTTCACCATAAAGAAGCTGATCATGAAAAGGAAACTGACTGGCACATGGCATTGTTAACGCCGCCTCTGAAATTTTTTTTTTTTAAGTTTAAGTGGTATATGGAAAGAGTAGGCTAGCGCGAATATTCAAACTTTCAAATAGTAGTTTTTGAATAATACGCTTATTGGTATTCTCCTCAAAACGAACTGCGGTATTTGTACGTTTCGAAGTGTCGATCACTAGCTCTCTCAAGCGTGCTTCTCCTCAAGCACCGGTGCACTGTGGAGAAGCAATCCCCACAAAGCTGACAGCGCCATCTTGCTTTGCTGCAGCGGAGCAAGATCTAGTGCACGTGACCTTTAAAGCGGTCTAGTGCACACACCTGCCTGTATTAAAAAAAAAAAAAAAAGGAAATGCTGCAATTGTTGATACTTAAAAGGTTAAATGGCGCGAACAAAACACTAACCTTTTAATCGATAGGAACCAACTAGCCCCAACCAAAGTTTTATTGCCGATACTTACATTGCAGTGAAATCTTCCAAACTTAACTGTGGCTGCTATGTAAGGGTATATGTAGGGTGTGTATTTTCCGGTTTTAACCGAAAAACATCCGTCGGGGCCGAAAATACAAAATCGGTTAAAACCGAAAAGCACCGGTGGTTGGATATTTTCGCCTTGGTTAAAACCGAAAAACACCGGTCGTTGCACATTTCCGACCTAGCGAAACCCTCTCCCCGTAGAGGTTCGTCAAACGTGTTATCTCGTGGATCCTGCATTCTTGCAGCTTGCACGTGGCGTCAGTCCGCCCTCCTTTCTGGGGGTCAAAAGCGTCTAGTTAACGCAGTGTAAGCTAAGCTCTCACACGCCTTTCCCCCATTGTGTCGCCCATGGCCCCCTTTTATGGAAAATTAACGGAGTGGAGGGTACGCTCTCACGTGCCTTTTCCCCATTGTGTCTGGCCAAGTAATGTCGGTGCAAGCCATGTATTCAGAGGTTGCTGTGGTTCCTGGAAGACATTGCCAACATCTGTGTCGTACGGGGCTACTGACCTTTCAGAACTGAGATGCGTTCCTTGTTATCTGTATAGTTTCCATGGGCTTTTGGGGAAACGGAAAAAGGGTTTTGTTGGCGGTGGAGTTTTTTGGTTGTACATAAAAAGACCGTTCTGTAAAAAAATTTGCAGACGTGTTTGAGAAGGCGCGTCCGTCCCGCGTCTGCGGGTTTTCTCAACGTGAGACTTGCTTCCCTTCGTCGTCCCGCGGAGTAGAAGGCCACCAGGATGGGAAGTAAGCGGAAAGCTCAGGATGACTACGCTACAGATTTCATGGATGAATCGTGGTTCTGGTTCTGCGTGCCAATTGTTAATCTGTGCATAAACGTGGAGGTGCCAGAGGGATTTGTGCCTTATGAAAGTATCTATCGGCTGGTCCTCTGAGACGAGAGCTAGCCGAGTGACCTAGAATCATAGTTTCTTTGTTACCGCCAGTATGCTGTGGCTAGCACCGTTGATCCAGTGTTATTTTGGAAACTTCATTTACCTGACTGGACACTACTGTCCCAAGCCTCGCTGGACATTTTGGAATTTCCTGTGTCCAGCGCAAATGTGGAGCGTGCGTTTTCCAAATTGCGGGTTGTGAACCGCAAGGAAGGTGCTGCCATGAGGGATTTAAGCCTCTCGAAGTATGCTTGCATCTACTATAATAACCAAGTGTGAAAAATATATGCTTCCTCGAGAAGTGTATGAAATATGGGAATAAAATTGGAACTCTCTGTCTGTGATCAATCGCATTTTTTTCCACCGATAATCACCGAGTTTAGCCTCGTCGTGAGACGTTCCACCGAAATACACCGGTGTTTCGAAAATAAATAAGCACCGAAAAACATCCGCCGATTTTTCTCACAAATAAACACCGAAAAATACACACCCTAGGTATATGGTAGGCAGAAGTCTAACAACCTGTGTTCAAAATATTTTTTTTCCTTTTTGTAATACAGAATTGAAGAAAATATTTGTATATAGCAAGATTCATAAATCCCCTCAAATAGGCACGGTTGGATTTTTTGTTTAATTTTATGGAAGATGGTCGTTTACTTGCCATCCCAATGTAGGCATTGGACTTTCCAAGGCCAGTCCATAATTATAGCTGGATTAAATTTATCAATTTTTTCTTTATAATTCTCTATAAAGTAGATTAGAAAATTAACAGAGCGCATAAGTGTGGGCTTTTAGAAGCTTGGGAACAATGTTCGGGAGTTCAGGTGAATTTTTGTTTAAGCATAGTGTAATAGCGAGACATTGGCAAAGTTGAGTAACAATAATCGAGACATATGCAAAATTACCGCCGTACGATTGTTCAATAAACAACTATCTGAAGCAGGCAGTTCCCTCATAGGTGTGACGTTTTTAAAGTCTCCCAACACTCCAACCGCAGTCCTTTCGACAGACTAACTTTCAAAGAGATTGCGTAAAATTTTCTGACACAAAAGCTCCAAATTGCCCGCTCCAAAACCGGTCTCTCCAAGCTACAAGAGCTGCTCCAAATGACCACTCGTCAGTTCCACCAGAGCTGTGGACATCTTTTACCTCCAGAGCAGAACGACTGACACTCCGTTAGAAGGGGTGCAAGTTACTCACCGGTGATGCGTGGGTCCTCCGGTCATTACAGGGGCATTCCACGTGAAGGGTACTTGGGAAGCAATTCGATCGCTTTCATTCGTTACTTCCGAATGTAATTAGCGACGGACGGGACGTTTGTTTGCCACCTCCGGCGCGAGACCTTCGATGATGCTAGGGCATCTTGGGAGCCTAAAGCGTACCAAAGCATGGCCTAGAGCGCATCGGGGGTCCCCTGCCGCGCTTACCTCGTTGGCGATTATAGTCTCAACTTGATTACTTGTCAACTCCAACAGAGTATGATTTATACTTACTAGTCAACTGTCCAGTTGAACCTTCGGTCTAGACTGTCAGCGTCATTGTCCGTCAGCTGGATCGCGATGCTTTGCAAGTGTGGTGCCAGAGTGGCACACTTTGCAGCTTTGCACGTTCTTTGGTTATACAAATAGACAGAGGGGAGCACGGAGCTCTGGTTGGAATGACTAGTGGCTAGACGCCAAGCCTTTGTCTCACTGTTTATATGCCGACGTCTGGTGTTGGGCATCTGCGTCTGCCCCTCTGGCGCAGCGGCACCGACGAGATCGTAACTGGGGGGTCAAAGATTCAATTCCCGTCGGGGTGCGTTCAAAAGTTTCAACTCTCTTCTCAAATGACGCGTTTTTGTTACAGATCCGAAGGACAACATTTCGTAACGGTTCCCGGCGTGTTCCGTCGCACCTTTTTCCTCGGAGGCCCTTAAAAATCGTCTGCGCTAAAACCTTTGGCCCCCCCCCCCCCCAAAAAAAAAAAAAAAAAAGCACAATTATGTTTGAGATTGTTAAAAAAAAAAAAAAAAAAATTGTTAATGACGTGTACAAACCATGTAAAAACTTTGCTCGCGCAAGTTTTGAATTCGAGCTTTCCAATGTCTCGGAGACTCGCCCGGTGCAGTCCAACCACGCACGCCACAACAGTTGTCAGTACGGGCTATTTTATTTAAAAGCCAACACCTTTGTTGCCTTCGAGACAAACAAAAATTTCTATGTACAAACGGAAATAAACGCGAGAAATGATTCTATCTGATGGCAAAATTATGATGGGTTGAGGTAACTTTTTAGAATGCACGATGTAAAAGAAAAAAAAAATTATTAAAAAGACTATCGCTCGTTTGTGGAGGCGCAATTGCTCGTCCCCGTTTACTCCAAAAGCTCCGTTTTGCAGTCCATACTGGTCCGTCCCTTGAGCTGTTGCCGTCTGCAAACATTGGATGCCCTTTGCCCTCCCCAAGAATGCACCTGGATGGAGGTACACGTGAGAAAGCACTCAAAATGGAAGCCTGGCCATCGTGGCAGCCACCTTGACAACAAAATGGTCGTCGTCGAACTGGAGGAAGCAGACGAGCTTTTCCGCAAATGCCGAGGCTCCAGCTTGGTTGCTGTCGACGTTTTGTACGGACCTCTTCCGGTAGTCGTTTCCTCTAGTCCATTCCAATCCAGTTTCCTGCTGGCTTCCGATGGCTACCCTATGCCGCCGGCTTCCAGCCGGCTTTGTGTCTCGAACACAGTACCGAGAAGTTCTCGAAATCTAAGTGACAACCTGGAAAAGACAGACACAAGACATGTGTAAGGTTCCGCCACATGCGACGTCAAATCGGAGTGCACGAGCAGAAATGCGCGCAAAAGAAGAAACCTCAAGCACAGAAGTGGGCACTCAACCTCCAGAAAATGATGTCGTGAGAGGCACGGGTGCAAGTGCACAACTTTAGAAAGCGCAAGTGCTTGAGAGGAAATCTTTAGAGCATTTTTGATAGCGATTTGACTCAAAATTCATCCAACACATTAACATCTAAACTAATATCCTAGCTATTTCAAATTTTGTTCAAGAGGCTTTACTGGCAACACTGAAAACGCCCTAATACAATAAACCATGTTTCCTTCGGGTTTCAAGTATGGCGTGCTACAAAAGCCCATGCCAGCAAAACAAAAAAAGACACACGCAATGTACTGCTATTTGTAAACGGTCCGTTTGCAAGTTATTCGCTGGTGTTTTTTTTTGCAAACAAGCTCACTACCGACAAACCCTCGCTCACTTCCGGTTTTCTTTTTTTCCCACCCTTGTTTCGCATCCTTTTGTTTTCTGCCCCAAAACACATTACAATTATTGGTTTCCGAAACAAAAATACCCCGGCTTGATCGCTGCGTGTCGCGAAAGAGCAAATAAACGCAGTAGCGGAAGTCTATTGAGGCAAGTAGATTGAACGCAGCTTCGATCTCATCCCTGGGTGAAGGTCTCGTACTTGTTGCGTTCGAAAACCTACCCGCGTCCAGCATTGCTGTATCTTCCTTGTCACGTGACTTGATCCGCCGGAATAACTCGGATCCATTCGAGTAAGATTGGAACAGAGCCCCAGAGTGCCCATCTGCCGACCCCAATCTGATCTGGCCCACCTCTGGGCGCAGCCATCTTAACGTCACGTGATCACTAATGTGGCAAACAGGCGAAATAGCGGCAACCGAAGTGCTGCCATTTCCGCTCCAGGCAGTGAGGTCCGCTTTACCGCTCTAAGGTAAAACTCAAGCATTACAATAAAAGACGTTTACACATCCCTGTAGTGCGAAATTAGAGTGCAGCTCTCGAGGAGGAGGAGGGGAGGGTACAACGAGGAGGGTATGCCCCTTCTCCATACCCTCTCCTTCGGCTCAATTTGTTCATGGGGAACAAGTAACAAAGTCATGCGAGGTCATTTTCCCCACTAAATTTAGCGGGGAACTGAATTGCTGTTGAGGTCACGTGACATCAATTTCCTTGTCAAATATAGCGGGGAAACTGACGTCATGTGACCTCAGCACCAATTCAGCTTCCTCGCTAAATTTAGCAAAGAACTTGCGACGTCCCATAACGTAACGCGCGCAGTTACGCTGATGGCAGCGCCGTTTAACTTGGAAACGGGCGCCACTTAACCCGCAAACGGGCACCGGCACTCTGCCACTCATTCTCGCAATGCTGCGTTTAACCTTAGCCAATTTATGCCCGAATGAATCCACCAGACAATGTTGATGCATCACGTGATGTCGCATAAAGTGACTGTGCGAATGTAACGTCACTGTTACGAAGAAATGATTTCCAGGAATTTAGCGGGTAAATTGCGAGGTACCGGCATCCCGTGACGCTAATTCTCCGCCAAGTTTAGCGGAGACATTTATCTGCTTCCACACAAACACAGCCCGGGATTTGTTGCAAAACCTCGCCAATAGCGAGACAATAAAATTCCGTTTTTCGCTTCCAAAGATGCCTCGTGGGGCCCGTCAATATGGACACTCCACTATAGGAACAACATTTTCGGGAACATACTGGACAAATATGCAACAGCTAGCAAAGCCCGATCAAACAGATTTCTGCAGCCCTCATCCAGGCAATTCTGGGTCCCCCCAGTACCCGATGTACAGTGTATTAGAATAGAAAAATAGTGCCGGGATCAGCGCAGCAATGGGAGCTCGCGAGGCCGTGTAGACCGCGCTGTGTGACACTGCGGGCGTTACGACCAGGAGAAGTCGCCGGGGCCTGCCAAGTTTGGCCCGGAGCGTGTTGCGCATTTGCAACGCCATTCTTTCGGTTTCATTTATTTTGCGCCAACCACGATTTCCTAGCTCCACGCGTGCTTGATCGGAATGTGTTTCGAATCTGGTGTTGTCCATTGGTCGTGCGGACAGTGGACGTGTAAAAATCACTCCAAAATGCCGCCGGCGAGACAGAACAGCTGCTAGACACCTGGCTGCCCAACAGTTTACATGCACTTGGGGGAGCGAGGACGACGGGGTCCCTTTTCGGCGCTCCAAAAGACAACCGCGAGAGACATTCGGAAAGGGAATTTACCGAGATGGGACGAGCACCTCCGAGAAAAGAGCGCAGTCTGCAAGTTGCATTTCATACCCTGCTTCGTCCTTGGTCATTTTTGTTCACAACACAAACTACGGAATGCCCCATAGATTTTGTATCTTCACACAACCGGTGTCGACACTCGTCGCACTCTACATCGCACACCTCGCGTGCAAGCCGCTCAGGTCTGATCTTGACACCATCTCATACACTGTACCCAAAGTACACTGTACCCAAAGCAAAAGAAAAAATGGAAAAACCGATCACCTTACATAAAGTCCGAATTACCATAAAATTCTGGAAGAACGCCCACTCCAAAATGAAAAGATAAATGGTGAAAAAAATAAGGGGCTATCTTTAAGGATGTGACGGCAAAACTTGATCAAAAATTAACGATAAATAGCGGGGCACCGGCTACAAACCACGTGATGCAGGAACGGATACCGTTTCACGATGCGATAAACACGCAGAAATTCGCTACCAACTCCCGTGTCACAGGAAAGGATGCCGCAGGTTGCGGCATCCTCCTCCTCTGCAAATCGCAGATGCAGCAGATTTGCATTTCACGTTGGAACATACATGTGGAAACTCTCTTGCTACGGGAGCCGATACCTCCTGCGCAGAATGCGGACAAAAACGCGGGGATCCGCTGTGAACTCGCTTGTCAGACAAACCGGTACTGCAGATCATGCGGTTGATGCGATTGCCGCGAGACATCGCGTGACGTCCGACAGGAATCGGGGGGTGGGCGATGTTTCGGAATATTTTGTTACGGGGAGGGCTTCCTTGCGGAATTTTACAGCATGTAGAACGGAGACTCGAAAAGCTGTTGCAGTGCACCGTACGGTATAAATTCTGCGGATGGTGGTCGTGCGATACCGACCCCGTGATCGCATTGTGCGGTGTTGACACCGACATAACGGTGTTAGGAAATACCGTGCCAACAACTTGCCTGTTCACGAAACACTTGAGGCATCGAGTTAGTCACGTCAAGAGACCCATAGAACCGGGTTACCTTCATGCGTTCGCTCGTCACCGCTTAGGAAAAGAGTACAATGGCGCCATCTGTCAAGCAGTCCTATTCCATTTGCGTATATATTTTACCATTTTTTACACATTCTTCTTTCAGAAAGAAATAATTCTAACCCTGGCTCCCCTTCAACTAGATATCTCAAACACAAGCCTCAGTCTAGTTGTACGATAGATGGTGCCAGTACTCGTGTTTAGTGGTTACTAAAGAATCAACGCAAATTTGCCAGCTGGCCTTTACCACGTTTTTGTTACGACTCTCGGCGACGCTGTGGACTTCGAAACCAGCCCGCAAAAGAAGTCTGCATTAACACTACCCAAGAGGGTCCATTTTTGAACCTTTGGCTTAATATGAATGAAGTTTACCGTTATGTACTGGCAGTTGCGAGGCAGAAGGCGGTGCAAGTTTCATCTGTGTACACGAATTGTAAAACAAATTATACAGTCTAAGCTCGTTATAACGGACCTTGATTTTGGCAAAGGTTTCGGTCTGTTGTAAGAGGAGTGTGTTGTGTGCAGATCTGAAGTTGAGTCAATGGTATGTATAGGAAAGCCAGCCAAACTTCACATATTGGTATCTTATACCCAAATGTCTGTTGTAACGAGCTTAGACTGTAGTTGTTTTCATCACAAACTCACTATCTTTGTTTGGGAAAACTATCGTTAGAAAACTAACGTAATACCCAACTTTTTTCTACTCTACATCCGCAGCCTGGAAAGTGCAACTGTGAAAACAAAATTTCCACAGTAATTTATTTTACACCAACATTGTGGCGAAAAATCAAATAAACTTTTTGCCTTTTGTGTCGTCGACAAAATCTTAAGATCTTTTATAAAAAAACTTCTTTGAAATAAAAAAAAAAATCCAGTTGTATTGCCCATAAAGTTCCAGTTAGGAAAAAAAATTATTGAGTCTTTCCTCTTGTCCCATTAACATTAGTTTTTCTAAAGCGAAATTTATGCCAAAAAGTGGCATAAATTTATGCCAAAACCCCTTTCTTTAGGCTCAGTGGACCGAAAATAATTTATAAAAAACCTAATTATGCAGTGTAAACTAATGAAACTCTCTAGATGTAAATATCACAATTTTCAGAATCAACTTTTTTGGTGAATTTTTTTTTTCCTTTTCTGGGCAATCTCCCCATGGCGCAACAATAATCAGTTGGAATGTTTCCCACCGTACATGAGCTTTCTGGCATCACTAGTGGGATCCAAGTATACTTGAACACAATGCCACTGACCAAGAAACTTCTTCGTTGCGGTGTAATTTCAAAGCTGATAGCGAACGTTTTCTTTCAATCTTGGTGATATATTTGACAATGCAGCTCGGAGGTTGCAGCGTTGCGTAGTCCCCGAGCAACAATATTTGTATACAGCCCGCTTACTAGACCCAGCCATTGCACATGCACTCGATTCGAACTCGTTGCGATCGATAGCTCGACGAACATTCGGGCAGTGGCTCCGGCCCAATGGCTGCAACGACGACAAGAGCCAAACACTAACCGTGCCTGGAACTCGGCGCGTGTCCCGCGATTTGCCAACCCCAGCGCGTGGCTAAGGTAAATATTGATAGCGCATAATCGGCTTCCGATCAGGCGGCCGCTTGTTCTGGCTGCGAGTTGAGGGGAAGAACGACGCTGATTTTGCTTTCTTTCGCGACTACCATCGTGTGGGCAGACAGACTAATGTCGTAGGTCATAAACGTCGGGGATTCATCTTAAGGGGTACAAAGGACCCAATCTGGTTTGGGGAGCAGAAAAAATGGTCCCGCCGACTGGGAGCTGGGCCCGGCCGATCGCACCTCTCTCGACGGCGCACTGGTAGTGGTACTTCTCGGTGCAGCCCCTCGTGACGCAGCCCACGGAAGCCCCTGGCAGCTTGCACTTGCAGCACGCCTGGGGACGGAAAGGGCACACACTGCAGGCCTCCAAGGAGCAGCTTCTCCGAGCATTTTACGCCATTCTTTCTTTACCGAAAGCATAGCGCGAAACTCAGTTTAAAATCGGCAAGCTGCGATAAAATTCAAACAAACATACAGTCAGTCGGCCTCCAGATGTTTGTTGCTCCCACTTTTTATTCTCGGTCATCCGACACGTTCGTTCCGTAGTTTTTCGCTGGTACGGTCGAAAACATTCGCGGAAGTGGAGAGCAACGCGCAACATCTGGATACCAGATTAACGTTTCCTTTACATGAAGCTTAAGCGCCGTTCACACTCTTGCGACCGAGTAAGACCGAGAGAGGCCAGACCGGTTTTTAAGCCTTTCGAGACTTCTTAGGACCGGATGCGATGCAGCGGAGCTGGTCCTAACAGATCGCAAGAGGCTTAAAGACCGGTCTGGTCTCTCTCAGTCTTACTCGGTCGCAAGAGTGTGAACGGGCCTTTAGATGAAGATTACAATGAAGTTTCCGAGTCATCCGAGAGGTTGTACAACCAGTCGTTGGTACAGTGTTGCCAATTTAGCGGGTTTCCCCGCTAAAATTAGCGGATTTGAGTTGTGTAGCGAAAAAAATTGCTGTTTTGCAGTTGGCAAAATCTTTTTTGCTGTTTTCAAGTCATACATTAGCGTTTTTCCTGGCAAAGAGGAAATCCTTAAAAGACAAAGATTTGTTTTTAAGAATTTGTTTTAGACCATTATGAGCATTGGTGAAATTTCTTTCCATAGGTGCTGGCTACGGGTATCCCGTATATATTCCGGCAGAAAAAGTGCCGATTCTCTCTAGCATTTCCAAACAACAAATTCTGGGAACAAAACGTTGGGGCTCAATCGAGTTCGTGGTGGTTAAATATTTGACTAAAAACCCAGAGACTGGCACGAGAAGGGACCGGCAAACACAAAGTCTCAAGCACATCTTGTTTGAGAGTTTGTGTTTGAGACTGTGTCTGTCCGTCCGTTCTCGTCCCAGCCTCTGGGTTTTTAGTCAAATGTTTAGATTCTGGGACCCACTTTTCGTGTCGAAACACGTTAAACTTGCTTAGAAGCACCCGAAATCGGCGAGCCTCGCGTGCTTCCATACGATGCCACGCAGACTGAGCAAGCTCTCAAGAAGGTAGTTTGAAGAGACGCAGGCTGTGACCCTCTCAGCATCGCTCCGGAAGCAATGAAAATCGGGAAGACAGTGTCCGGCTTATCTTTCCTAAGGCACACATTTGCACTTCAGCGCGTTACAATTGTCCACGTGCAACGACGCTCGAGGTTTTTAGTATCTGCGAGATCAAATCTACGCGCCATCGGTGAGAAATGCTCCCTCCCAACATTATCCCAATTACTTTCACTCCGTTAAAAGTCCAACCAAAGTAAATGTTCGACATCCATCAACCGAGACCAAATACGAGCACTGTCAAAATATTACGCTAGTGAAAATCCACTCGAAAATTGATATTAAAAAAGCTACCCCCAGCTTCTCGGCTGGTATTCAGTGGGTTTGCTGTTTGTCAAGCAACCTCGTGGCCCCAAGGTCAAGGGACAATTTAAGAGCTCAGGGGAAACTCCTCCCACTTGGAGGGAGCAAAATATGTTCGCTTCGCTAAATTGGAAAGGGGTGAGAGGAGCTACCCCTCAACTCTAAACCTGTCACCTACTACAGTCCCAATCATACCAAAGGGGGCCAAGCCTGGCCAAACAGGTTGATTTGTTTGTACTTCCAGTCCAGTGGCGTAGCCATGGGGGGAGCGTATTTCAGGCCCCCCTCAAAATTAAGTAACCCTATAATATACACATGCATTTTGACGCCCCCTTCCCCACCTCAAGCCATGCGTATCCCAGCCACCTCGGCACCCCTACCGAAAAAAATCCTGGCTACGCCACTGTTCCGGTCCTTTTGCCGCGTTTTCCTGCCGCATTATCTGCCATCCCAGCGGACAATTTCTGTTTCTAACATTATGTTTCAGCAGCACTCTTTCGTCGGCGATTGTGCACCAATATTATTGACTCCCTGCTCGCTCAAGCGTGACGTCGAGCGAAACGTGGCCTCCGCCGGCGGTCATAGTTTATTTCGTTCCAAGCTCGGCGCGAGCTTCCGATTAGTTTCCACAATGCTTCTGCGACATGCACTGCACGCCACCTAGATTGTAGCTCTTCTCAGAAGATAGTGAGGGCTTGTTCTGAGCCTGCATTCATCGTGGCAAACTCGCTTTTCGGCCGGCAACTTAATGAATTCGTATTGCTATTTGCTACGGATGTTCGATATCTGCGAAGCGAAGCCATAAAATGGCTGTAGCAGCTTACCCGACCGACCGAAACTGCTCTTGCGACTAGGCCAGTGGTACGTTTTGAGGTACTGCGAAACAAGATTTGGGTCACACGATGGCCACGCAGCTAGAGCTGCCATCGTGCCAGTAGTTTCGGTTTTGCCGTAGGCCCCCAAAACAAAAATTTTAGATCAAATATCTACAGAAGTACACGCGTAAATAAAAACTGCCACCTTCTCCTACCGGGACACTTCCTCGACTGCGTCGTAAACCTAAAGCTAAAAAAAGGTACCGGAGTTTAAGCACACGGTAAAATAATAGCGCATAAACTACGCACAGGAGGGTGCATTTGAGGCCTGCCAGATGCTTCTCTGGTCGTTAACAAGAACATTCAAACTTTGGCTGTGGTTGACTACGGGTGGTTTCGTGCGACCTTCTTCTGGCTGCAAATCCACTTCTTCCCAATGTCCTTATTCGTGCAGCGTTTCCGAGGCGATCGACTGCACCAGCCAGGGCAATGGAAAAAGGCTTTGGCTGGAATTTTTACGCAACTTTGTTCAGACACAAGACGAGTCGGCGACCAAAATGGCCGAAAGAAAATAACCGACTGGTGTAAATGCATCCGCGCACTCCGCAATCAGTACCCACCCCTCAATTGGGTAACATTCGGAAAATACGCAAAGGAGGCATGTTTACATCTCGTCGACCTAAGGAGAGTCCATCCCCCAGTTCTACACATTTTGATTGGGCGCTCGGTCGGGACTTTACGGCAAGCGCAGAAGTTTGCAGCTGCCAAAGCGCCCCCGGTCGTACTTACCGAGTTCTGTCGTCTAACTAACGGGAAGAGTTTTGCAGGCAGGCACTCACCAGGAGGGCAGCCTCCTGAGCCGCCTCCTGCAGGCCGTGCACCCGGTGTCCCCCCAGGTAGACCCCCTGGGTCCAGGTGGCACAGGCCTCGTGCACCCACAGCTCGCGCGACGCTCCTCCGCAGGCCTCGCCCGCGGGGCCGCCCTCCACCTCGCTTGGCCTCCGCTGCGCATGATGGACAGCCTTCGGACCCCCTTCGCATTGTCCCGTGGATGTTGCGGATGCCCGCTACGGGTCATCCTTTGCCGTGACAAGGAAACGGCCCCGACGGGTCGTCTACCGAATTGCCTCTCTCGAATTCCCAGACTTTTCCTGGTTTTCCGCAAATATTTAGATTAGATTCCCCTACCATTGCCGCCGTGTTCTTCCCTCCCACATTTTTCCCAGATGATCCCTGTATCCAGCCAGTTAGATAAAGGGATCACCCGGTCTCTGAAGTGCTTTTATCGAAAATGCTCGGAGACGCGGCTCGTCTTCGACGTCAATCGGCGGAGATCCCCAGCTATCGATGTGAAGACGACATTGGAAATGTTGTACGGGTCGTGGAATGACGCGAGACAGTCGACAATGAGAAACAGTTTTGTGGGCGCAGGCTTGGTTCCACCCGCCGACGAGGTTCAACCCAAAGACCCAACAGAGTCACTTGCCGAGGCTGCCTGGCATCGGGTGACGCTGCCAAACGTCTCATTTGAGGATTTTGTTTCTGCCGACAACAACTTGGTTGTGGCACCCGAGATTACCGATCAAGAAATTGTGGATCGTGTTGTGTTGCCCGACGATAACAACAGCAAAGACGACACTGAAGAGCTGCAGGACACTAGCGCAGACGCCGCAGACATGGCCCCGAAGCTGCGCAATCATTTGGAGAAGCTCCCCACTGTCAAAACTGCTGAAGTTAAGAAGATGCACTAGCGTATGGCCACTGTGGAGAACTTCATCATTCAAAACGTTTGAAGAGGCACTAGCTCAAAATCGCATCTTTCTTCAAATAAATAACACCATGGATCCAGCAAACGTTGTTTCTTGTGTTCCAAATTCATATCGTCATCTTCCGATCTATTTTTTTCATGTTGCTCAGTGACAGGTAAGGATCTCGAGGTCCGCGATAGCGCATTTTTATATCGTAGTGCTGCGCACGTTCTTGCAAGGGCTCGATTGCGGGAGCGTTCGCGTAGACTTTTGTGCGTACTTTGATAACGAATATCGCATATAGCGAACAAATTTCTGCTCGCAATGCTATAGTTGGTTGCAAGTCAAGAAGGTAAGAGAAGCTCCTCCCACAAGCGTGAAGCGCTCGTTTCAAATCCATCCGCAGTCGAAAGAAAAGTTCACTAGAAACGCCCCTTGTTCCGCTTCAATGAATAGATACTGACTACAGAGTGATGCCAACTTGTCTCCGATCCCCACTTTTTAAGAAAGCGACCTTTGTATCCATCGGAGGGGGAACCGAGCCCCTGAAAGTGGCCTTTGTACCCATCAGAGGGGGAACCTAACCCACCATAGTCGTATTTGTTTCCATCGGAGGGGGAAAACTCTAATCTCCCTCTCGTGGCTTCCACAATGCTAAGTCAAAGTCGAAAGATAGAGAAAATATTTACAGGAAGGCAAAACCCTCTCCCGCGTCGGCCACGACGTCACGGAAACGATGGGACGCTATTGGATGCGGAGGCGGCGGAGGGACATATGAATCCCTCTGAGGGGCATTTGCTGCTACCTTCTTGACCTGTAACTTACTATAGTTTGTTATAACGAGGTTCAACTGTACATAAAAATGGTGATAAAAGGAATATTAACAACTGCCGTCCGATCTCTCTGCTTCCCATATTATCGAAGGTTTTTGAGAAACTGATAGTTGAATTCGAGCCTTTCTTGCAAAATTTTCAGTCCTATCCCCAGCTCACTACGGATTCCAAAACAGAAAATCAACGGAGCAAGCTTTACTATATATCAAAGATAAAATCTTAAACAATGAAGATGAACTTCTTACTGTTGGCGTATACTTAGATCTTTTGAAAAGCATTCAACAGTATCAATGACGACACCTTACTACAGAAACTCCCTCGCTATGGCATTTGGAGCAAGACCTTAGACTTAATAAAAAAAGGTTTTTAGAAAACCTCCAGCAACATCACCATTCTGACAGCATGACTGTTAAATATGGGGCCCCACAGGGGTCTGTATTAGAACCGTTGCTCTTTATAGTCTATTTAGACGACATTGTAAACATTGCAGTCTCTCTAAATCTAATAATGAAATAATGCCATTAATGCAAAGGCAAGCGGGCTGGACAAGAATAACGATAATCATCCCTGGAGAAGGGGAACAAGGGGGACGAAGTGCAAACACACATCTCCAAACACAACTAAATGACTGGTATGCGACTAAAAAAAATCCACCTGGTCCTTTGTTTTCCTTCTCCAGGGATTATTATCGTTATTCTTGTCCAGCTCACTTGCACCTTTTCATTAATTGCATTGTCATCTTAACTTTAAATGCAGGCCGTTCACCCTTCTTGGTGTCAGACTGGTGGCGGCTGTTAAAACCCGTTTGCTCTGCTGACGTCCAACTCCTGGTTCGCTCAGTTGGTAGAGCGCTCCACTGGAAATGGAGAGGTCCTCGCTTCGATACCAAGACAAGGCGGATTTTTAGGTTGAGCAGCAGTCACCTAGCTGTATTTCGAGAATTCTGTTTGCGCTTCGTCCCCTTTGTTCCCCTTCTCCAGGGATTATTATAGTCATTCTCGTCCAGCTCGCTTGCACCTTTGCATTAATGGCATTATTTCATTATTAGATTTAAGGAGACTGCAATGTTTACAATATCGTCTAAATAGGTTATAAAGAGCAACGGTCCTAATACAGATACAGATATAATGTATGCCAATGATACCAGTATCTTCTTTTCTGGTATCTTAATTGATGAAATTGAGCAACATGCAAATAACCACCTACGAAATCTAAACAGCTGGCTCGACAAAAATAAAATGCAATCAGATAAAAAAAATTGAAGATGTTTACGATTCTCTGTAATGTGAAATTAGACACAGCTCTTGAGGAGGAGGAGGAGGAGGAAAGGGCACGGAGGGCAGGGTATGCTTCTCCTCCCCCTCCAATCCTCCCATTTAGCGGAAAATTTTCGCTAAATTTTGCAAAAATTTCCCGCTAAATTTAGAAAGAAAATTTTCCCACTAAATTTAGCAAAAAATTTTGCGAAAATTTTCCCGGTAAATACAGTGGGAAAATTTCCCCGCTAAATCTAACAGGGAAATCCATGTTTCGCGATCTCAATACCAATTCAGTTTCGCCACTAAATTTAGCAGGGAAACTGTGATGACCCATAATGCAACGCGCGCAATTACACCGCCACTTCTCAACCTGGAAGCTGGTGCCTAAGAGCTGAGGTCTAAAACTATAAACACATTATTTACATCTGACAATAAAGCTGTGTTATATAGAGTGTATAACTGATAGCAAATTCTTAGGTGTGTGGGGTTTAGTGACAACAGTGTATAACTGACTGCAAATTCTTAGATGTTTGGTTTAGTGACAAACTTTCCCGAACAACACATATCAAACATATCTAGAGCCACAGGAATATCCTATAGAACAAAAGACCTCTTGCCCACATGGCTGAAGGTGCAGATTTACATTAGTATTAGTATTCAAGAATACTTTTTAAAGTATCTCTGCTGAGCGCTGTTTTCTGCTATTTTAGTTTACGTGTTGCGCCGGTAACAGCAGGCCCGCCGGACGCAGGTCAAGGGCAGTGTTTCAATGGGAGGACCGCGGCCCACCACGGATCGATCGGAAGACCTCCGGTCCGGGGTAGAAGAACACCTTTTATATAAACATCTATAAATAGCTTCTACTTCAAGGTTTTAACCAACAGCTAAAAAAGTTATGCAAACCTCGCAAAAAGATTTGACCTTTCAACCGCTAATACCCCTCACGTTTCAAATTTTAGAGCAGGACTCCGACGGATGTGTACTACAGTCACGTCTCGTTAATACGGACCTCATTAATGTGGAAAACGCCACTATAAAAACAATATTTTCGAGAAAGGTAAACTCGTGCTTTTTTTAATCATTATTTTGGTCAACTCGCGTTATGGACGCTTTCTGGAAGGACCGGAGGTGTTCGCACTAACGAGACATCGTCGTACCGAGAAAAAAGGTTATAATTTCAATATGTCGACTGGGAATTCCAAACTAAATTCCGTGAAATGCAAGAGACCATGGAGGCCCCCACCTGTCTAGCTCTCCGGCTGGCCTGCGAGGCCCTGGCAAGGGCGTCCTCCGACCCGGAGTCGCTCTTTCTCCGCTTGCCCTTGCCCCGGCGGCAGCCGTCCTCGCAGCCCAAGGCCCCGTCCGTGGCTGCATCCGTCGGGAGGCGGGCGGGAATCCCCGGGTAGGGCCCATACAGGTCGCCCAGGCCTGCCGCAAAATGCCCTCCTTGTCCCCCTCTTCCAAACGCACTTTGCAATCGAAGAACTGGCGCCAAGATCCCCACAGGGTCACCCTGGAACCTCCGTCCCTTTGGCCCTACTGGAAAAGGCTAAGCACCAAGGTTGCACCTCCAAATGTTTACTTCCATCCTGAGCGACCGGGGGGGGGGGGGGGGGAGGGGGGTACTGAGCAAGAAAGCTGCTTTTATGCAGCTTGACGAGGAAAATGACGACCATGCGACGCTGAAGAGAAATAACATTAAGAGTAATAAAAATGTGTCAATTATACGGACAATGTGTCAGGTATGGCAATTTCGTTTTGTGAGGCAACATCAATTTCTAGGGATGCAACATGATTGAGAAATACAGGCGGCATATATTTAACTCTATCGAGTCTAACGTTAGTGCGCAATCAAGGAATCTGCCACGGATATATCCGACGAGTTTGATGAACCGAATTGCACGAACGAAGGTCGGCAGGGTTTATGAAAGTTTCGATTCTACCCTTTTATAGCAGACTTAACTATTGGGAACACATTCTTGATGCCTCGGTTAAATAATACTTGACTTCGGTGTCCCTTTAGCTCTTTCCTGACCATGGGAAAAATGCCTCTTCTGTATCGCTTTTTGTTACTTTATTTCTTCCTGGGGGCATTATTAGGTTTACAATATGATGCCATAGATGTAAATGAAGCTAAATAAATGTGCTGTTGAACGATGCAAACGCGAAAAGAGACAATTTCAAAAACAAAATTAAATTTGTCGCACAATTTTTTTTGTTTTAAATTGGGTAAATATTTTTCATTTTAAAAGAGAAAAGCACAAAAAAAAAAAAGCAAAATATGCTACCATAAGATACTGTGGAAGTGCCCATTTCGTTCACGCGCCCACTAGTAACCTTTCTTCAAACTTGGGAATACTGCAAAATGTATGTTAAAGGGGCACTGCAGTCCTATTTAAGTGTCTACCTTTTTTGCTGTTTCCACTTCTCTTGTGGTTCGGGCAACCCAGCGGGCACGGAGAGTCACTAAATATCAGCGAGTCATATTTCAACCGTATGACACAAAAACATCCCCCTCCTGCGGGGACGCTCCCTGGTGTCAAACGCCCGCAGCATGCGACTAATTCGTGACGTCGTCGATCCCGGTCAGCTCCTGCCTTCCGACTGGTCAGAGCTGCTAAAAGCTTTTTTATAGTCGAAATATGAAATATAACTGGCACGAACCGTTTCAATTATTTATAAAAGTAGGTGTTGTTCAGTATTTTAGGTCAGAGAGGTAACGAATGAAGTTTAGGAAGTACTAAAAACAAGAAACAACACACAATGACCCGTCGACATACCTGCCACCAAGCGGTGGAAAGGCAGCGCAGGCCGGCGCAGGCACCCCAGCGGATCCTAGCAGACGACGCATGATGCCGGCGGCACATTTCGCAAAAAGCGAGTGTATGAATTTGTCTTCTGTGGTCTCACGCCACAGGAGATCCACTCGGAACCAGCCCGGAACTCGAGCGGCATCAAGTTGGAGCCGAGAGGCTTCGCCAGTGCGCTCGGACACTTACGAGGAGTGTCCTCGTACGGTACTACTCCCAGCTCCGCACTTCTATCGAGGATTCGGATCGCCAACTCTAACAGACCTGGTGAATTCATGCCGGCAAGTGCGGTGGAGGGATGAAGCAGGCAATGTGCCGTTGACGCGCATGCAACTGCAGGGGAAGCGACCATCAACGTAAGCTGCAGCCGATGTGCCGGTCGCTTTGCTTCTACCATTGGCCACCCAAGCCAGGACCAGGGACGTCATGAAGGTCATTTTTGGCTAGTTTTTGTATTCTTAATTTGCCTATAACTTTTATAATAAAGCGAAGTTCGAGAAAAGAAAAGTTTCACCAAGTTACTACATGCAGTGCGCTCAGGTTCGGTGCACATTAAAAACCAGTCAAGAAGTCGTTGCAGGGCCCCTTTAAGCGCCCGATTTGACCGGACAAGTGCCCATGACTAGATTAACTCAGTTTTCAGAAACAGCGGGGTGGACCCTCCCCAAGTATTTTAGGCGAAGTGTTCTTACAATGACAATAAAAAAAGCTCCTAAAAAAAAAAACAAAAAAAAAAAGACTTCTAGCTTCAAAAATAAAATTAACCCTCAACGTGGCGAAGCAGAGGTCATCAGAAATGAAAGGGGACGATCTGGCTTCATCATCAGACCCACTGCCACTATTTCGAGTAAAAAAGATAGAAGGATTCACGAGGATCGCTACGCTTGCATGTGCATACCGGACCCGCGCAAGAGGCCAAGCACGTCGGCATGTGCGACACGCCATTGGTTTCCCGTAGCAACGTCGAGGAAAAAGGTTCCGAATTCTTTTCGGAGCAACATGTTTCACTTCGTAGGGGAGCTCGAGATGGTACCGTAACACACAGAGCAAGCGCTCGAGCAAAAGTTGGAGATACTCGCGAAAATATGGGGACGGGCACTCGCTAGGTCAGAGAGGAGAAAAGCAGAGGGGGCAGACGGTGGGCGGGCTATTCCGAAAGAACGGTCTGGCCAAAAGTTTTTAAGCAGCCGCTCTTGCTGGGCCTGCCGTGCGCTCTCGTTGCAACCTCTACCGCTTTGCACCGATGCATGTACGTAAAGCTTGGCCGTTTTGCCCTGGCATCTTGGTCAAGCGGCCAATGCGGAGGAGCACTTGGGTTACCTCGGGGAACTGGGAAATCTGCTAAGGTGGGCGGTTGATTTCGAAAGTAGGAGGTAGGCGCTTCTTGCGACGTGGGCTCAGTATTTTACGCTAGATCTTTGCACAGAATATAGTCCTAGTTCAGTATCCTGAGCTCAGAAGCCGTTGGGTGTTGATGCTTTCATTCGCTGAATGCGGACATGATTTATCGGGCCAGAAGTAGAAAAAGAAAAATTATAAATAACCGTGGGCAGTCACCGTACGGCGACTCAAATCCTTACTGGTGCTCCCGATTGTAACCTCCTCCCCTTCAGCCGTCCCCGTTCTGGACGAGTGAATTTATTGCACCTAGAAACAAACGTTTGTCGTTACTAAATGGAAGAGTGCAGTTGTCTGTGGAAGTCCCAAGTGTTTTTACTCTTTACATTTTAAGTATTCATCATAGAGCACTGCACAGGCTCGGGCCGGCCCGAAAGCCCGCGGGCCGGGCTCGCGCCGGGTTGCACATATTGTTTAGGGCCCGGGCCGGGCTCGGGCATGAAAAAAAAATTTCCGGGCCGCGTCGGCCCAGGCCGGCCCGGGCTGTGCCTGGTCAGTCGTGTGCCGTAACTTTTATATTGTTAACAACAATAGAGGAGTGTCTACACGACAAGAAAGACTACTCGTTCTCAGGAGTGTCTTAGCATTGTGGCTTCTCGAGAGCGCACGAGAAAGAATTCCCAAAACTGTCCATTCTATCCAAACGCATCCTGTGCATCCCTGCTACAAGTGCTAGCAGCGAACGAAACTTTAGCGCGGCGGGCTACATTATGAAGCAAGACGGACCTGCCTGAAGAGAGAGTCCATGGACAATTTATTGTTTCTCCACAAAAATATGTTGGAAGGAAATTTCTCTTAAACGAATTGAATAGAACAACGAAAAGTACAATATCTCTTCAATAAATTCATAAATAAAAAATTCCCCACTTGTGTGTCAAGGATGGTCGATGTGCCATGAGTTCAAAGACTGTCGCAAATGATGCGCATATTTCACCCATACTCTCGACAATACATATTCTAAGTCGACATAGTTATGATATAAAAAAAAGTGAAAGCCGTTTACAACTCCCTGTAACGCCGAATTAGAGCGCAGCTCTTGAGGAGGAGGAGGGAAGGGTACTGGGGGGGTGAAGTGACCTGGGGAGGTCACGTGACCTTGAGGGGTCACGTGACGATGCCGATGATGTCATTAGTGACATCACTGATGACGTCATCAATGACGTTGACGATGCAGACTCCGATGACGTCATCAGCGACGATGACGATGCGGATGCCGTTGACGTCATCAGTGACTTCACTGATGCCGTTGACGTCATCAGTGATGATGACGATGACGATGCGGATGCCGGTTAGGTCATCAGTGACGTCACTGATGACGTCATCAGTGATGATGACGATGACGACGCGGATGTCGGTGACGTCATATGGGAGGTCAGGTGACCTCGGTGGGGGGGGGGTCACGTGATCCTGGAGGGTGGTCACGTGACCTCGGGGGGGTGTCACGTGACCTCGGGGGGTGGGTCACGTGACCTCAGGGGGGGTCACGTGACCTCGAGGGGTGTCACGTGACTTTGGAGGGGTCACGTGACCTCAGGAGGTCACGTGACCTCGGGGGTGTCACGTGACTTGGGGGTCACGGGGTCACGTGACCTTGGGGGTCATGTGACCTTGGTTACGCCGACGGCGCTCAAGCCGGGAACGGCCCCTAAGAGCTGCGCTCTAAAACTCGGTCCCAGTTTTCCGGCTCGGGCCGGGCTCAAGCTCATATTTGAAAATGTTATCAGGCTGGGGCGGGGCCGGGCCGTGTCTCTACCGGGCTGGGTCGGGCCAGGCCCAGAAATAAAATATTCTGTCGGGCTCGGGTCGGGCCCGGGCCGTGTCTCTACCAGGCCGGGTCGGGCCGGGCCTAGAAATTCCGGCCCGTGGAGTGCTCCAATTCATCATCACAACATGCTTGCCTTAACCAGTCCAGAGATTGGTGCAGAGAACATTCTTCTCCTACTATTGCTCTCAAAATCAGAAACATGATGATATTCAACCCTAACAGCAAACGTGCCACAGTCGGGTCAATATCGTACCTTTTTATGCCTGTCATAAAAGCGTGCATCTGGGGCACACACAAATTTTGCTTCATTTGCAAGAGTTAACGTAGGTGCCCCGGCAATGTTTCCTCGCCGCTAAACTGAACCGGAACTGGCATCAGCTGCTTCCTGCCTTTTCCGTAAAATCGAAGCTCCTATGCACAAAGATCAAAGCACCCATGCACAAAGACTGCCCGTCTTGAGTTTGGAACTTGACTGTCAACACACGTCGTAACAGTAAGCCAACATAAAGTAACGCACCTTCACAAAATTTTTTAACCCCGACAGAATTCTCGGGCTCGTCCAAACGGATCGACAGGAGCGCACGACTCTTTCTGGGCCGGTTGGCTCTATGCCAGGTGTCAATGCTGTTTTTGGTTTGCTTGCCCGCCGAGGGATTCCGAGTGATGCTCTTTTGTACAGCTCAGAGGGAAAAACCAGTCCATAAATGCGTTCCGCATTAAAACTGCCAACTTCATACCGTGCCTATCAAGATAAACAGAGTTGCATAAAGCTGCTATTTTGAGAGAACTGTCCCATCATTAAGGATTTTCTGTCAAGGGGAGAAAGCCTTTTGCCTCTCGTAGAACAAAAAATGTACTAGATGGTTAGCACACTGCAAATCAATCGTCCTATTAACCTCACTCGTGAACATTGGAGAGCATGTCTGCCTACTTGTCGGGCAGGCTTTTGCTGCCCACAAACCACGGTGTAAGATGCACGTAGGCAAGGACACGAAGCACAACTATCGCTGCAACGTGGTCGACCGGATAAAGTCCTCTTCGCACGCTCCTGAGTAGCCTCGGTTGATAGCGTCTCCGCCGTCCTGACGATGCAATCGAGAAAAAGAAAACCAACAAAACCTCCAAGAAATATGTTGCACTGCTTGGAGCATCTGCTCTGACCTCGACGGACGCTGGCTCAAGCAGTGTGCCAGACATCCCTGCACTTTCACTGGACCGTTATTCCCGCCTTTGAGGCACAAAACTAGGATCAATGCCGAAGCAGCGTCTAGGCAACAAAAGTGCCACACAACGTTGCGCACCCAGAGAAAGACTCAAAAAACAAAAGTGTCTCCCAAAGCACAAGAAACCAGGCCCGCAGCCATTAGCCGCATATCGAGGAGTCATCTGGCGGCGCCGATTGCAACTAAGGTGACGAGAGGATTGTCTGGCAGCTGCGACGCCCACAACTATATATATCTTGCTCCGTGCCACTAAGGTCAGAGACAAAAATTGCCTGCATGTTTGGTCACTTTGCCAAGCGTGCTTAAATGCAGTAGCTTTATACATAACTGCCAAGTTCGGAGAAACCAAATCCGGGACAATTTCGAAGCGAAGGGGGGGGGGGGGGGGGGGGGGATTATTGTTAAAAGAAATAGTAATAACAAATGTAGGTGAAGACAACTTCATTGCATTTATATTGCACTGCTCATGCAAGCCAGGAACAGCTGGGCCTCGCTATCATCGCAGCCGTTTGTTACGACGGCAAAAACTACCTACTATTCAAGTGTGAGGGGGGGTCATTTTGCATTTTCGGGAGATTTCTCTGTCAATCGTACAAATATACAAATTGGTCAAAATTTGAGAGTCTCCCGGGTAATACGGGAGACTTGGCAGGTATGTTTATAGAGCTTTTAGTTCGGGTGGTATATAGGCTACCCTTGGGTCTTTCAGTGCCTGGGGTGGGTGGTGCTTTAGTCCAGGCGGTGCCCAGGACAACAGGTTAGAACACACCATTGTCTCTTTGTGACGCTGCGGGGACTTCCTTTCAGCACCACTCGGATACAGAGCCTTTGCACTGAACGTTCTGGGTCACCAAGAAAGGGGAAGCGCGATTTCCTGCCCTTTTCACTCCCCGTTCCTCTTTCTAAACCACCTGCTTCTGCTCGTCCCCTTCCTCCGTGCTGGGTTCGTAGCTCAGTCAGCAGCGCATTCGGCTTCCATGCCGGTGCACTTTCTTTTTAAGTTCGTTTAGCGGTTACTAATTGATTAACCGAGACATTTCGTGATTATGCGGCTCCCCAAGTTGGTTGGCCGTATAAAGCGACCGCTTTATACGGCCAACCAACTTGGGGAATATGCGAGCCTGAATGGTCCATTCGAGCAAACTGCCAGATGGATAGAAAAATCGCTCGTACCTCGAGAGACATATTATTCCCAAACTAAACAAATTTTTCATGGCATCTGGACACTAGAATCAGAAACATGTCAAGTTTGTGTCCGAGGCAAAATTAGAAACCCCGATCCCATTCCTGCCTCTCCTTCGATCAAAATTATGGAAGCTCCATACCTATGATTAACTATTCCATAATGTGGATTACAGAATGGACGGATTAGTAAGCGGGGAAATGAAGGGAAAATTGAATGTCCCTGTTGCACTGCTTACCCTGGTGGTGACTGCCCCGGTGGCAGAAGGCGCACAGCCACGTCGGATCCCTTGTCACCGCGTCGTAGTGAGGCGACAGGGTGCTCGTGTGGCCGCCAGCCGCCCCCGGCAGCCGCCGCGCCCCGTGCAAACTCCGCTGCCCGGGCGTCGACGCCCCCTTCTTGCGCCGCACCTCCTCCTCTGCAGCCGACCGGGGGGCCACGTTCACCACCGACGTCGACACGGGGCGCTCCCGCGTCCCCACCACCCTCACGTAAGGCCCGGACAGCTTGCCCCTGGGTGCAAGCGTGGTCGCCGCAGGAGTCGTCACTGGCACGGCGTCCAACTTGCGGGCGTCCGGTTTCCGGCGCCCCTTGGGAGCGCCGCCCTCCTTGACTTTGTTCTTGGCACCGAACGGCCGCCCGCGCTTCCGCTTGGCCGGCGAGGCCGCGTCCGAGGTGGCCACCGCGCTGTCCGTCCCGACACTCGACACCTCGCTGGCTGGCTCCCGCTCCCGGTCCGCCTCCGAACCGCTCGTCTCCGGCTCCAACTTGACTGGCCGTGCCGGATTCGCGCTCTGGGTCGGCAGCGGATGCGGTGGCGCGTCGGGGACGATTCCAGCCGTGCTACGACGCCGTTTCCTGTTCGGCCCCTCTGCGCCGTCCTCCATTGTTGCCGCGACGATGCGCCCACACAAGACAGAATCGGAACTCCGCCGCCGTTTCGCAAGGTCCTCGCGTTCCCGCGCCGACACGGGTGGCGTCGTTGAAGCGTTGAACGGGGGTCCGTACTCCCCCGCCGCCGCACCACTCCCCGCGCTGCCACAACCGCCCCCTGTGAGGCACGGAGGAGGAGCCGTCGGCGCGCACTGTGGATCCGCCGAATAACCGCCACCGCCCGCCGGTAAGACGCCATTGACACCACCGCCGTACAATCCCGTCGCGGCACCTGCGGTCCTCGCATCTGCGGGCGCCCCGTTTGACGCCGCGCCGACGCTGCGGTAACAACTCGCGTCGCCGTACCCACCACCCGGCGGCGTGCACATGCGGTTCTGGTCCATGTTGTAATAGGTGGGAAATGGCGAGCTTGGCGAACCGGCACCGTGCACGTACGGTTGCTGGTGCGGCACCATTTCGGGACCGCCGCCGGTGCCAAAAGACGCACCGCCGCCTTGCGGTTCGAGGAGCACCATTTTTTCCAGCGACTGCAAGGGGTCGTGCACCGTGGCACCACCACCGCACGGAGATGCGGCGCTCTGCTGCTGCTGTGCCTGGAGCTGCGGCGTCGGTGCCGGCGTTGGCGGCGAGAAGGGTGGCTGCGTCGCCACGGGCGACCTCGCGTGGCACGCCAGCGGCGAGGGCGTCGTCCGCGGTGACTGCGACCACGACGGCGAGTGGCTCTGGGGCGGCGGTCCCACCATGGGCCGATAGCTCGCCATCTGCTGGTTCCCGGCTGGCGAGCGATGCGGCGCCATCATCTGGGGGAAGCTGCCACCGTGGTGGTCGGGCGACGACCAGTTTGGCGCCGGCTTGGCGTGCGGAGGTGCCGGGGAGCTGGGGTAGGCGGGGGCGTGGCACGGCGTGTAGCGCATGTCTGGCGAGTACTGCTGGCGCTGCACAAACTGCCCCAGGTGGCCCTGCACGTTGCCGTAAGGCGGGCCGCCGCCCACGCAGTGCTGGGCGGCCGGGTACTGCGGGCTGGGGGACGGGTGGTACTGCACCTGGTAGGGGTAGCCCCCGCCGGGCTGGCTTCCCTGCACGCACACACACAGAGTGCCAACCTGTTACACGAGCCCCCCCCAGTGGTCCTCGACGTTACTACAACTCAACTGGGAAACTCTGAAATGTCGACACCGAAACCGAGCCACTGCGAGCCACATTTGATTAGAGCGCCAGCTTTTGGCGGTCAGTGTGTTTCATCAGTTTCTACAAAGTGGGTCGGTTAGTCCGCGGTACATGATCAGTTTTGGAACAGACGGGCCAGCAAAAGTTGGCTTTGCCGAGAGAGGTTAGGTTACTTGTCAATCGTGTATTCAACCCCTCTGCGTTTTCTGGATTGGCCAGTTCACGAGAAAACCACGTCAGAAAGTTACTGTCCCGTCTTCTCTAAGCACCAGGTGAATTTAATTGAATTTCATCATAATCTTCTCAGTTCCGATTCGTATGCTCGACACAAAGAATAAAACAAACTCGGGTGTAGGGACGACGAACATTTAAAGATATGTTCGTCGTCCCTTGTCCCAAGTTTCGTTGTGGCGATGCCAGTATCCTTGCGTGGCTAATAAAGAAAAGAGAGAAAGATAAGGTTCTTTACCAGTACTGGAGGAGCAGTGTCACTTTGGCTGCTTCGGCAGCAACACACAGTGGCAATGAGAAGGCGATATTGTGAGCCTCGCGGTGCTGCACCCCTTTCCTCCCTGCTCTCGGAAAACGGGCTATCCCTTGGAAGCAGTGGCGATGGGTGTTTAACAACTACTCGCTCGCACGGGAGGCGACGGCCACGGACGTGCTGAACGGAAGGCTCTACAGCTGCACTGCCTCATAGTACAGGGCCAATGAACCGTCTACACCCTTCCGGAGATGCGCCCTCCGGTACCGAGACTGTGTGAACCACCCGGAGGCCAAAAGACATTTACTGGACCGCACCAGTACGATGTTGCTCTGGCAGTCCTGGGAAGCTACTTGGCGGCAACTTCAAAGCGGTCGACGCACGACATCGCTTCGAGCGCAGCTACCCGGGAAATCCATCCAAGCGTTTGTCGCTGAACTACGGGACCTGTTGTCGAACCAAGATTGGAGCCATGGTGGATGAGTTTGTCCGAGACCAGCGAGTTGCAAAGGCGTCGACTCAGAAGCTACGAGAACGGCTGCTCCCGGAGGGTCTCGGCCCGACCGTGCATTGGCCGTCCGCTGTCTGGTCGAGCAAACGGTACGCTACTCTAAGGAACTCGTATCGGCTTCTGCGGTGCGAAAGGGGGACGGTAAGCCTACGCAGACCACTCACCGACCACCATGCCCACGGGGAGGTGAGCCTTTGTCTTCCTCTGGAAAAATAAAGTGGTACCATTCCGGCTCGTAGGGACATCTTGCGAATTCCACTTCATGTAAAGCGAGAGGAAAAATGTGCACTACATGCGGAAAAGTCCGACATTTTCATGCTGCCTGCAGGAGTACCGCCGGCCACGTTAACGAAGGCCGTGCAATCGGAGAAGTTGTCTGCTTGGATAGTTTCATCAAATGCGGAGTCATCTCCAAAAGCTGCCCTGGACCATACTCCATGGTTTGAAGCACCATCAGTGGCCTCATCATCACCAAGAGCACCACCATCCCCCCATGGTAGCAACATCACAATCACTGCACCCAACATCGTAGGACGCTCCAGCGACGCCATTCCCCGTGGTGGCACGACAATCACCTCGCACGTCACAGTCAGCCCCTCCAAGATCTACCAGGCAGACGTCGAGGCCACCCAGACTGGACGATTCTGTGTTGCATTAAGTGCTTTTGGGTTTTGTTATTAAGTTTTGTAAATATCGCTCTCCAATTATATTTCCTTGAAAGGGAACCACTGTGGTGGGGCCAGTAGCATTGTATGGCAGCGCCACTATCGTTGCATGGCTATAAAAAAAGATTAAATAAAGATAAGCATTCTTCACCGGTACTGGAGGAGCAGTGTCTCTTTGGCTGCTTAGGCAGCAACATAACAAGTTTTGTTCTTCACCAACATGTTTTACATATAGTTCCCGGAGTTAAACATATAGTTCCTGAAGTGGTTGCTGCTGCATTAATGGTGGCGCAACAATTTTGTCTGGTTTGGAGACCAAAGCACCGGTCAGAGCCAGTTCTCTACAGCAGGCTCCTATGGCAGCTTTCCAACAGAGTTGTTCCAGTGACATCAGTTGTCGTCAGGTTCGGCCATCTATAGTCGGATACGAGTTTTTCTCATTAGTGCCAGCTGCTCCGCGATGGGCAGACAATCCGCCATCGAGGCATGCTTACGACACATAACTCGTCGTGGCCTTTCCCAATGAAGTGCTTCGATGCCGTGACTGGCAGGTGGTGTTTATACAAGGCATTCTTAACAAGAAGGAAAACAAGCCTAGTGACAATTATTGTGTCATGTTTAGGGGCTAAAGCTCCCATTACAGCAATCGCGGCACGTGACCGGCCTTACTCCGCCAGTCACGTGACCTAAAATTCCCCCTCGTAGGGAAATAATGTTAACTCTCTGCCGCTTCGAGCAAACGGGCACTGGTCTGTCAGCCTGATTGAGACTGTAGAATTTTTTGGGAACATGAAAACATGGTTTATATTTCATCATGAGCAACGGGGGTACCGCGGAAAAGAGCTGCTCTTCTACAGCTTGACGAGCCCTCAGTAAGAGACTAAAAGAAATCATCTTAATATTAGTTAAAGAAAACATGAATTATATGGACAATGCACGCTTTTATAGAAGTGAGGGGACATCAATTTTCACAAATGCAAAATAATTTTTAAAAACAATCATGTTGCTGTTTAGACAACATAGGGTAGCTCTGCCTTTGAGGAATGGCGACACCGGTTTATGCCGTAGATCTAAAATTTATTTAGCCAGTGCAGTAGCGACGCCGTTCCAACGCTCATCCAGGTCAAAACCGGTGGGGATCGAGCCGGTGAGGTTGCGGAGTGTGAGCTTTCGCTGCACTAGTTCCGAGCACCTTCCTTGCTCGGCCACCGACCTGGGCGCAACAGGGAGCTCTACGCGTCCTTTTAGAACGGGAACTCACCGTGCGGCCCTCATAGGGGTGCTCTGCAAAGTTCATGCCCTGTCCGACGCAACCTGCGAGCAAGGAATGCGGACGTGAGCAAACAACCCCAGAAACACCCGTCCAAAACCCCCAAAATGCGTAATAAATCGGAGCCTACAGAAAACAGGGACCAAGTAAAACGGACGAGCGCCCCAACTAGCCCAGTTATTGACGCTTCTGACCAACAATAATAGCATTTTTCCAGCAAGCTGCCACGAAAATGTGGAGTCAAGGTCAGTTACAGCAGAACCTCACCGGTAGGTTTCTTGGCCATTATGTTGACAATCCTGCCAGACTTCCATACTGATGCGCGTGTTAATCGCCCCTTTTCCCTCCCAGTTGGGAGGTCCAAAAACTCTTCCTTCTCACTGCACTGTGCCGCCTCTTGCCGGGGCGGGTGGAATGCCCGGAATGCTGTTCCCGCCCATACATTCCCCACAACGACGTCACAGTCCCGCCCTCCCCTGTCCCGGCGGTTAGCACTAGTACGAACCCCGCTCCCGGTCCCAGCTTCCGGCTGCTCAACAACGTAGAGCCACCCGCAACACGAGCCACACCACCGGGATCGTGGTTCCGCGACATCGTCGGGCGCAAATCGAGGGACCACTTTTTAGGACGCGAAGACGCACCCTACTCGGCCTGCCTGATCATTCCCCGGGTTAGTGGCACTTCGCATCCAGTTACAAGTTACCCACCGTGCACCGTGTGTGGCCCACGTACGACGACCCGTTTGCTACACCACAAGCATCCGACCGCTCAATGGTTTCCCAGCTCTGGCTCACACTTGCAGGTCGGCTACCATTATGAACGGATACCTCATTTTAAGCAAACGTCAGTCTATACTTTAAGAAATATGGTAATTCTCCAGAGCCATGAAAGTCGATGCGAAATAAGTGGATGCGCTACAACTGCTACCTGCCTCGTATATAGGCTCCCAGACATTTTATTTGTTTTTAGGTTTTCCCAGATCGCACCTTGTTTACACCAAAAAAACATATCCACAGACTTCTACTGGGCTGCAGCATAACCGAGAAAACAGGGTCAAACTGAAACCGGGCCACTAATGTGTAAGAATGTTGTGTCATAAAAATGGGGAAGTTGCATAACTGTTTCACCGCCAGCACCATGTGCATTCGACTTGTCCTTTAACCTACATATTTCCGCCGTTTCCGTAATCCCAAAAGTTATGTTTTATGGATTCCAATTTTTGTATTAACGAAGGAGCAAAATGCGGACAAAATGATCCCAATTGTCACTGTGCACGACCAAGAAGGCTTTTACCTGGACAAATGTGTATGTGTTTCTGTAAATATCTACGCGTATTTATATACTTTGTGTTAGGGCCCTTACGTGACAGAAAAGGACATTATAGAAGGTTAGAATGTCCCTAACGTCGCTATCAAGCGCTCTCATAATCAAAGAAAAGACAGATGTCAGGAAGGAAATACGAACTGTTTACTGTTTCTTACTGAAGTTACATTAGCTCTCACGAGTTAAACTAGAGCTTACGGCAAAATCATGTCACACCAGTGCGAGGAAAAGTGCATTGGCACAAAACAGCAGGCACCCACTGCGATTCTTAACAATCCTATTATTTGCCATTCTTTCTTTGACCATTATCTCTGGAAGTCTTAACGAGGCTCCAAAGGGTAAACTTTCAGTCTCTACTAAATATGCAGGACCCACACGACCTGAGCATGATACGCCAGAGAAGGGGCACCCTCTAACTACAAAAAGAAAACCCCAGTCAAGAGGGACGTTCCCAGAGTACCCCATTCCACATCACCAGCCTGGACTGGTGAATTAAGTCCCATCCGGCCTCCTCATGGGCTGATTTCAGTCGTTTTGAAGTTCAAATCAAAAAAAGAATGAAAAGATTTTTTTTTTTTTTATGTTTAGAGGGTGAGAACATTTTGAAACAATTACTTTTAAACCAGTAGCTCAATATTCATGAACCTTGTAGTGTCTAATGACTGCACTGTACAAAGTGCCACCTCTGTAGGACAATTCCTGCCAAGCTAGAGGAGAAGTTATACAGCTATTGGTTGAAGTTGCCTCACTTAGCGAGGATATCTATCCTACAAAATTGCTGAAAAACATTGAGCATTTCTAAGCTTCAGCCTCAACTAGTGTTGAGGCTGTTGGTGTTTCGAATTGGTCTAGAGGTCATGAGAAATCAATTTTCTCGCCAAACTTAGCGGGGAAACTGAATCTTTGGGCTGTATCGGCGGGCTGTACGGAACATCGAACTCTCGCTCGTGGCTGCCGTTGTGAAGTGGTTCGCGTTGTTAGAATAGTTACGGCTACTCCAAAATGAGCCTAGAGCTCTCTGTTGTTCTACTTCGGTAAATGATCAACTGACATATCTTTTTTCCGTTACTCAAATAGCAGTTGGGTCAGCCGGCAGTATTACCCTCAACTACTGCGTGTATTGCAGCAGGAGAGCATGTTTTTATTTATTATTTCAGACATCCACTCATGGTCGCTAAAGGCCTACACCAGTACAAACTCTGTATAGTAAAAAAGGTACGGCCACCGGATTCACTTTTTGCCGGAGAGACCGACCAGTCTGACACAGTTTTCCCTATTTTATTTTTTTTTTATTTGCACGCAGGTAACAGCGCGATTGGACTCTGTTAGTCTTTTTTATCTAGCATAGTATCACACGATAACTGGCATACCAAAATCTGCGCATCTGCGCTTGAAATTCCCAAAATGATGCGATTTTAAACAGAGTTTGTACGCCAGCCGGATGCTAGGTACTGCACACTCGGCGGACCAGACGACATGCGGGCGAGAGGGGGAGGGCACTTTTTTTTCTCTTTTTACCCTCTCTACTATGACCCTAATGGAACGGTCTATAGGTCACGTGAAATGAAGTTCCCCGCTAGATTTAGCGGGAAGTGCACGGATGGACGGACAGACAAGATGTGTGCATGTGGATGCAGCATTTAAAAGCATTACATGCTTTAATACATTCCATATTATGGGTAATTTTCTGCCAATCAAAAACCCGCTTCTTGGCAGTAAGAACTTGATTCAAACGGAAGAATAACTAGCTAGCTGCATTCCTAGTCTAATAAGGAGTGCACAGCCTGTGCACCTCCGATCCGAAGGAAACTCTGACCATTCGTGAACAAACTATTTACCAGGGTTGCCCGATTCGTTCCCATGGCAGAGTCATTTTAAAGTCGTCCGTCGCAGTCACGATTCTGCAAGGAAGCTCGGAGGACGCTGGGCACACTCAATGTCTCTACACCTAACCCAACCTACTGGAGGACCCGGTCAGGCAAAAGTATTCCACGACACTAGAAAAGCACCCCTCCGCTTCCTCGCAGAGGCTCGAGGATCACGTGGCAGTTTTGACCTCCAAAGGGGTTAGTCGGGAACCCGGCATGCCCCTATTTGGGCGGCAGAGAACGTCTTCGCTTACTCTTCCGGCCCTTTCCGTGACCCGCTGCTGCAAAAGGTTGCCGACCCCTCGAGCCATAAATGAGCCACGCTTCAGAGCATCGCCACTCCCTTTCCTTAGTGTGCTGCCATTTTGTGGACTAGTGCAGAGGGCCTGCCCAATGGCAATCGCTACCATTCCAAAATGCGCCCAGCTTTAGATACGGTGGTGTCTGGTAGCTTGGGGGACATTCTCTTGCTCCCTCGTAGACAGTTCTAACATTTTGGGAGGTCAAAAAAGCATTTCCTGCAATATACAACCAAGCCTCGTGTAACTGGCAACAATTATTTTAAGCAACCAGATAGACGGCTCGAGTGTCGTTACTCCCAAGTGTAGCTCACTTAGTGTCTTTAGCGTCGCCCAATATTTTCGAGTCAGTCGAGCCACCCCGTCTCGAGTCAAACCTCTATTGGCGGCACTACGCCGCTTCCCCACACCGTCAAAAGCGAACGCTGCATAGACCAAAAAGCGGGGAACTGACTCCACCCAGATGGTCTTTGCGCCTTTGATTCGCTAGTCCAGGGTGCTCCATTTAGTGGATCTCGTTTTACCGCCATTAGTGCGAAATATTCGAGTTTCGAGGCCGTCACTATACGGTTCTTACTTCTGAAAAGGGTCTATCGCCTCAGAGGGTGCTTACCTTGGTAAGGGCTGCCCGGATTGGTCATGCCCTGCCAGGAGCACCGGGGAAGGGTGGCGCAGTTCGCCCCGCTGCCGCCGCCCGCCTCCCTTTTCACGTTCGCTGCACGACAACGAGAGAACCGGCTCAGGCACGTCGTGGCCAAGTGGCCGAGAACGCGACCTTGCACGGAGCAACTCGGGACACATTTTGCACCTCGATGCAGCAGACGTCCCCGCGCCTCTGAAAGAGAGCCCCTTCAAAGCCGGTGCTCCGGCGGAAGAGGAATGCAGAGTTTGCATCCCTCGCAGTTGTACACCCCAGCTTAGGCCCCGTCACTTTGCCCCGTTTCCTTCCAAGTATGCGCTCAGCCTCATCGACGTTGCCAACTCAAAATAAAAAACCCGATAAAGGTATTTTGAAAAACCACTAAATGCAAGACACGAGGTAAGAATGACGTTTTAACACTACCGCTATAATTAGTATAAAAAAAGCTCACTCAACAAGAGAAAAGGTTCACTGGCAGTGCTTCCAAGCATGACCTTACTGTTTCAAGGTGCGGTGTGTTGTCTAGACATACCCGCTCATGTGCACCTTCTTAGTTACCATACTTTTTGGCAATATTCGATGGCAGTTCAAAGCTCGAGTGACCAAGGTTCACCTGCTTTTCAAGATGTTATTTTTTCCAGTAGAGGCTTCGACGTTGCTTGGAACAACCAGTAACAAGTTTAGAAGACTATGCGGAGAGCAAGTCGTCTGCTTCTTGCGACGAGTTGCGGTCACGTCAGAACGATGCCGAGCTCTTATTGGCCTTCGTTGATGAAATAGTGGGTAGACCTCAATGCTAGATGCCTCAACACGGTGTCTAGCAAAATATTTTTAAATTCCCCGAGTTTTCGAGGTTTTCCCTCACAATTTCAGGTGAAATTCCCTGACCACTGCGGAGGTGGTTAAATATATATGACCATTACAACACAAAACATTGAGCATTGAGCACTGCGAGGATCATTTTGCACGGGCTTAATCCAACCTGCATATTCCGGAATATTCGGGTTTGCCCAGTCCAGATTAAACGAGCACTTTCTCGGCGCCGACATTGTCAGTAAAGAGGCCACTTCCGGAAACGCTGAAAACATGACGCTCAACCAGACACGTCAATAACCAAATGTCAGCATAGCCGCCAGATGCACACTTTAGGATACTTTCGGCTTAAGGCTTGGACTGGAGGCTGCGGCTTTCCCATTTGTTACTTATTCTAGTAGCTCCAGCTGGGTCTAGCGCAGTGTCGCACCCTCCATCCAATTCAATTCAAGGCTTGGAGTGGATTTGTCGGCTGTTCCCATTGCATCGGGTAGCACACTCTACATCGGGTGAGCAGAGCCTGCGCTCCGCTCTAAGCTGAATTTATTGCCTATTTTTCTGCCCTCAAGTCCTCAAGTCTTTGCTCAGGGCACTCAATGGTGTTTCCAGCTCATTTTCTCTCACTGGGCTCGCTTTTTGAAAATATCCCTGACACTTCCCCGATTTTTCCCGGTAAATAAAATTTCCCCGACTATTCCCGGTGGCTAGACACCCTGCTCGAGGTCTAGACACTATTTTCCTCAATCAGCCAATAAGAACCCGGCGTCCTGATATCATTGCAACCACTGTGCAAGAAGCAGACGAACTTGAGCTCCGCATAGTCCCCTCCTGAATTGTTGCACATAGTTCACTGGGCCCGTGTCTTCTGACAGACTCGGACAACCAATCAATACATCCCCGCCCAAATTAGTCTGAAGAATGTTTTAATTAACGATGGACCGAATCTGCCAAACTTGAGATTCGGCAAAGTTCGGCAAATGCCAAACTTTTGAAGGAAAGTTCGGCAAAGATTCGGCAAATGTCTGTGCATGTGCGAGAACGCGACGGAGCCATGGATTGCAAATGGATGCCGTGCAGTCGTGTGGTTACCATCGTGCAGTGTAGTACAACCAACGGTTACGCCGCGGTGTGGATTAGGCAACACGGTAATTCTGAGTTTGTGAGCGAGTGTGGTTCTCGTGTCAATATTTTCTGTCTCAAGAAGAGAAGATCGACCAGCAATTTACGCAGTCCACTGCGAAAGTGACAAATGATGCATTGCATTCTGAAACATTGGCCGACAATTACTCTAAAGCACTCCTCGCAATTATAACCATTTTGTTTTCGGCTCAGGAGTACTGTGTTCCAAAACAAAATAATATTGCCCTTTCAATTAGTGCTATTTCGCGATTTTCATGTATCTGCATAAAACTAAACACAGATCTCTAAATTCCTCTGGTGCGCCGCCATCGCACGACGCAGCAGAGGTTGGTTGCACTATCTCTCCACGGGGCACGGTGCCGAACGGGCCGAGATGCGCTCCGATAGTAAGCCAGAACTTAACACCCGGCCAATTTGTGCTATATTCAAAAAAGCGTAAAACGATGCGCGTGCCTTCTATCGTTCTGCAATTTGTTGCTTTACTGTTTTTCGACGATGCTGAGCAATTTTCTAATTGAAACCATGCCCTTAAACGCAATATTTAAAAAGTTAAGTACGCAAAAATAATTTACAACTTAATTATCCCGGACTTCAATAATTTTTCTAAATGAGCCCCTGGCCCGGGACCAAAACGACACAAGGCTTTTTTTGTTGCGATGAGTACTTTTCGCAGGAGCGATTTGGCCTGAGTTCTCTGAAACACCCTGTATATGTACCCACTATAGATAAATAAGAACCAGACTGCACATATTAAATTTATTTGAAAAAGACCAGCTTAGTAGTATATATGAAAGCATAAAGTTAACTATTTATGTAATATAATAAATTGAAGCAGTCTCTGATTGATGAAACATGTAACTACTCCAGTGCAATGCGAAACTGTACACAAAAAAAAAAAGTTCCAGTATGACTAGCGGAAGCTTTTCCTTTTGCTTTTCGGAACTTTCTGCAAGGCTGCTAAGTCTCGCTTTGCCTTCCACAAGTAATTAATGTCCACTTTCAATGTCTCCAAAAAGACATTGAGACATCCCACAAGTGTAGAGTGCTGTAGGCATTGCCGAGCAATTCCAGAAAACCGCTTGCCATCGTTTTACCTGTTCCTAACGTGCCAGATTTTCGTTAAAAGCACCCAAACATAAAACAAGAGATCGCAAGTGTCTCGGCTGGTTCCTCTTTCTGGAATCATGTTCACATGCACGTGAGGGCAACTTCGGCAGGCTCACAGTTGCGCTTGCCTCGTCGCGCAGCGGAGACAGCTGTTCAATCGAAACAGAAACCATGTCACTCCACTTCCGTCGCCAATTGATTCCAAAAGTTGTATGCAAAATGTAACTGTCGAACATGCGACAAAAAACAGTCCAGCGGCGCGTGCTTACCAGGCCGGCAAACAAAATACAACCTAAACACACAAAAAAAAAAAAAAAAACCTCTGAGCATATTGATGCGAGCATAGCAAGCCTAAGTCAAAATGTTCTTGGAGCGCTTTGTGCAACGACTGAACTTCAGACAAACAAGCACGCTGTGCGGGTTCAGTGTGCAGACATTGCCTTTTTTCGCTTCAGCCCACTTCTCCTTCACCAACTTTCTTTCAAAAGAGGGATTTTTGTAGTAGCGTATCTTATAAACAAACACAGGAATGTTGGTGACCTTGCGTCAGTCCGTACATTTCAGTTTATAAACCGCCATATCTGCGGCGATGTGGGGACGGAAACACCCGACATAATGCAACCACGGTGACTGGTAAGCAGGGACCAAACATGGCTTTCCCACAGCCGTTGCTTTCAGGAGCGAGTGCTTCAGCTCACAAAGTAACTCCCACCGCACAAAAAAGTGATTCAATTTCACAACACGACAGCATGGCTGGTACCCGCCACGCTATAGTCGGAGTGTCCGCACACGATTGCATCTATCGTTACAAAAAATTTTAAAAAGATGCGAGACAAGACCGACGAGACAATGGGAGTGTGAAACGAGAGATGGCGGGAAAAAGCATGCAAGACCAGATGGACGATTGATGCAAAGCAGTTTGTGTCTGGCGACTGCTTGCGCCACCTAGCTCATGGTTCTCAGTTTAGTTTCGGTTTTGAAAGGCCACCTAAATTGGTCCTTTGGTGCAGGCTTGGCACAGATTACCCATATTTTGGCAAAATGTAGCAGGATGTAGCAGGGTTAGCCCCTTGGCGCAATTGGCGCAGCAATCACATCACTGATTTGGATATCAATTCTGCCCAGAATCTATTTAAGACAAAAACTGCATCTTTAACTTAGACGTTCGTCCCATCCCGTATTTTATTGGCCAACCACCAAAATGATAAACTTTGGATGAATCAGAAACTTCTAGCTTTGATAAACAAAAAGAATCGCTTGTTTCGTCAATATTGCAAACCGAGGGAACCTATCGTTTATTCCAAGAAGAAATAGGGTTACCAACTCTTCAATGAAGGAAATCAGGACGGGGTGGGGGGGTTAGCGCGAGGGAGGAGACTTGCAACTCACAACGGTTGAAAATGAATGTAATGTCCTCTCCTCTCTCTCTCTCTCTGTCCCTCCCCCCGCGTGTCCCGCATTTCGCTAGCAGGAAGGTGGTCACCCTAGTCGGGAGATAAAAAAAAAGTGCCCCACATTTTGTTTATATTGCATGCAGTATTATAAATTTAAGGAGTCACATATTCGAAAAATGCAAACATTGTATTTGGTCACAACGGGATGTCGTGAAATGAAGTTCGCATGTCAAAAACGAAACTTTGTCCAAGGGGTTCCCCAAAATGCTTTGCTCGGCAAGGGGTCGATTGATCGCCGCAGTTTCCCATGACTGTACAAACACGGCGCAAATTCGCTACTAAACTTTACTAACCAAATCCCTCTGCCCACTACTCGGGCTCGAGATGTCCCGCGGCGCGTAATTGATGGCCAGCGCCACGCCGGGACAAACAAGAAGCCGAGAAAACGAAACTAGCTAGCAAGAGGAGGGAGGGAAGAAAGCTGCTGCCGCCGTTGCCATGGCAACTGACCCGGTTTCCCTTCCCTGGGAAGCTCCTCCCGCTTCTGAAATCGATGATGGCACCCCTTCTTATCGAAGCGCACGCCCCTCACCAAACACGCTGATATTTTGTTTACGCTCG